TAAAAGATGGTGTGTTAACTTTTGAGTTATTAAATAATTTACCTAATAAATAATATATATATTTTAAAAATATTTTAATAATTCACAAAAATATTATTTAATATCTATTTCTATTTATATGTATAACAACTTAATTAAATATATAAATAAAATAGTGAGATGGAGTGGGGCCCACAAGTGTCGGCAGACAAGAGACTCCAACAAAGCCAGCCTGGCATGAGGATGGCTCATGTAACACCGTATTTGTCCATTTAATTAATAAAAGCTTTTTCTATAATTATTTTAAACTCCATATATTCCAATTTTTTCTTTTAAATAAATCCAATTATTTTTGCCCTTTTTATTCGACATAAGGGTCAAATATGTCATTTCACTTCCAAGTTTATTTTTTATATTATTGTGGCTGTCATAGTATCATTATCAAATCCAAATATCCTTCTAACTTTAACAACGCACGAGCTAAAAAGTAGAATTTATTAGGATCAATTGGCAAATTATTGAAAATTTGGATAGTTTTTTGGATTGAATCTATTAAAAATTAGGTTAAAAATAGTTTAGTTATCGAGAAAGTAATGATTTAGACCTTTGTCGATGGTAACATTGTCGTGTGACGTAGAAGAATTTAAGTACACTAAAGGAGCTAAGAACAAGTCAACTAAACCGAGCATAGGGTCGAGGTTGTTTCAATCACGAATGACCTTAGAGAGCGCCTTCTTCTAACGTAGAAGATCGAAGTTATAGAAGAATCTACGCACATAATGCAAAATGTTGTCTTGTGTTTAGAAGAATCTAACCACATTAAGGAGCTGAGAACAAGCTCGATAAACTTAACTGTAAGATCCCACATTGGTTGGAGAGAGAAACAAAACATTTTTTATAAGGGTATGGAAACCTCTACTTAGTAGACGCATTTTAAAATTCGAAGGCTGATAACGATACATAACGAGTCAAAATGGACAATATTTTCTAGTGGTGGATTTAGGCACTAATAAAGGGTCGAGTTGTTTCATTCGTGAAGGACCTTAGAGAGTGCCCGTGACTATTCTTCTAAGTAAACGGTCAAACATCGTTGTGCATTATGGAAGAATCTCAACTCATTAAGGAGTTGAGAACAAGCTCGATAAACCTAACATAGGGTCGAGATTGTTTCATTCGTGAAGAACCTTAGAGAGTGCCCGTGACTATTCTTCTAAGTAAACAATCAAACTTATAGAAGAATCTAAGCTCATCAAGGAGTTGAGAACAAGCTCGATAAACCTAACATAGGGTCGAGATTGTATCATTCGTGAAGGACCTTAGAGGGTGCCCACGACTATTCTTCTAACATAAAAAGTGTTGGCCACTCATTAACGTTCGAGAATCTGCTTGACATCTCGTCAACAAGATTGGATACCCACATGTGATCGAAGTTTCATTTTAGTGTCCCAAACATAAAGACAATCATTTTAATATGCTTTTGCTTTATGTATAACCTATACTACAATATAGTTAGCTCTTTACTTGTTACATGGGCTAGCTTTATGCACTTATTCTTCCTCATAATAATCGACGACAACAAATTCATCTACTTTCCTAAAGCTCTTTTTTAGTACAATTTAACGAGATTAATTTATAAATTTACCACTATAACCCTTCAATTAGTAAATAATTATTTATCCATATTTTTATCAATAATTCTTTAAAATTAAAATCGCAAAATTTGTAGTGATAGGGGCATTTTAGTCATTTTAACCGTGAAAAGGAATTTTTTGTTTTGTTTTTTATTTTTATTTTTATGTTTTTCCTCTAATTTCCAAATAAACAATGAATATTTTAATGCCCACTTTCTTTAGTGGTTGAGAAAGTTTATTTTATTTTATTTTTATGTTTATTTATTTAAATAATAATAAATAAATAAAATTGCAAAGAGAATGAAAGTAATTACTTTTTTTTATTTACATTTTTTCCCTTTGTTTAAAAGATGTAATTTATCGATAATTTCCCATTAATAATTTAAATAATGGATGAATGATAGAATGTTCTTAATAATTATAGCAATCACTTATTGGTTCAAACTTCTTCTTTTTTGACATTTATTATTATTATTATTTATTTTGTAGTGTCTTTTTTTAAATTTAATTTTTTATTCGAGAATAATACTGTGACATCTGAGTAAAGAGTAGATATATAAATAAATCGAGACTACATTCAAATGAGAGTGGTTTTAAAAATAGGGTAACTAAGAATTTTTTTTTACCTTTACCAACAAGGTGTACGTTCTTTTTAATGACTCAGTTATAGGAACTTCAAAATTAAGCGTGATTTACTTGAAGTAATTTCAGGAAACATGTGAATAAGGACAAAACATACTGAAAGAACTCATAGAAACGACAAGTATTGACAAATTTGAATTTTAAATTCTGTCCTAAGATGTTACATTTATGTTTTAAATAATTAAATTATACTCAAGTTGACACGAGACTACTACAAAAGTTGTTAATACTTTACAATTTAGTCGACATTATTGTTCATTTTTCATGTTTGTTTTTATGGGAAAGTCGCATGTCCTCACCATAAGTATTAATATATTATATTATTTTAAATGCCTTTAATTATATTCTTATTTATTGTTAGTTTGTGGGCCTAACACCAAGTTGGGCTTTTGAGCCTGGTTTTGTTTTGGAAGATTTTGGGTGGGTAGATTGCTATTTCTTCAATATTAATAAATAAACAAATAATTACATTTTTTTTTAATTTTTTTTAATTTAAGATATTTTTTTTAAGTGTAATTCTTTAGTTTTGTTGTTTTTAATTGATGTGAGATCTTACAAACCACTCTCTCGTTTTCTTCCACATCGATGTGTGATTTCACAATCCACCTCCTACGGGGCCATGCATAGTGATGTTCTCACATTGGTTCGAGAGGAGAACAAAACACCATTTATAAGGGGGTGGAAACCTTCTACTAGTAGACACGTGTTAAAGTCTTGAGGGAGAGCCTAAAGAGAACAATATCTGCTAGCGGTGAATTTGTGCCGTTACAAATGGTATCAGAGCTAGACATCGGACGTGTGCCAACTTCTCTCTGTTCCCCAAAGGGGTAGACACGAGACGGTGTGCCAGTAAGAATGCTGGGCCCTGTAGGGAAGTGAATTTGGTGGCGGTCCCACATCGATTGGAGAAAGAAATGAGTGCTAGCGAGGACGCTGGGCCTCGAAGGGGGTGGATTGTAATGTCCCATGATCCCACATCGATTGGAGAAAGGAACGAGTGCGAACAAGAACGTTGGGCCTCGAAGGAGGGTGGATTGTGATGTCCCACGTTGGTTGGGGGAGAACAAAACACCATTTATAAGGGTGTGGAACCCTTACCCTAGCATACGGGTTTTAAAGCCTTGAGGGGAAGCTCGAAAGGGAAAGCCCAAAGTTGTAGTGAATCTGTGGCGTTACATGCGTTTTCGCTGACACTAGTTCCCTTCTCCAATTGATGTGGAACTCCCCAATCCACTCTCTTTGAGGCCTCTTGTTAGTATACCTCCTCGTGTCCACCTCCTTTGAGGCTCAGTCTCCTTACTAGCATATCGCTTAGTTCTGCTTTAATACCATTTGTAACCGCTTAATCAAGTTATTGGTAGATATTGTTCTTTATAATTTTTTTTTTTCAGGTTTCACTCAAAGTTTTCACACAAAAGTTTTTAAATGGAAAGACTTCCACACTCCATGGGGAATCTCAGAGTAAGAATATATATTTTTTAATTAATTTAGTCTTACTCGGGGGTAATGGGCAAAGGGTCAAAATTGCATATAACCAACGAAAGAAGGAACTGGAAGCATCGAAAATTCCAAGCTAAGTGGACGGACCAAACAAGGTAGTGCCCTGTACTCTAGCTTTCTATCGTTACCACATTTTTGTTTTTCCTGAGATCGAATGGAAATGGAACTGAATAAGCGGTGCCATTTCTACAACTATACAAATATATTGCCTTTTTCTCCGTAACCACCCGCCAGGTGTTCGACAAAATGCCTCAATGGTTAAGTGAAAAAGTTTTTCTTTAATGGGTCCACTATACAATTTGCTAATCAATTATCAGTTGATTCTTTATAATAAAAGGGTTTGATTCTTTTGAATTAAGACGAACAGCAATCATAGTCGTGTTGTTTCTTAGTTGTGAATTGAATCCCACCAGTCAAAATCACTATAGAAACTACAGCTTGAAGGAAAGAAATGTTTATGTCAATAATTGGCAATTGTTTGTTGTATTGTTCTTGAGTTAGTAAAATGTGTTACATTAAGCTTGGACCCTTTAATCACCAAATGTAGATGATTTGTGAATGGAATTGCTTTGAATGTGAAGAAACAGTGAAGGATTTCTATGGCAGCTCTGGAGATGTCTCTTTTGAAGGTCTACATCGAGCATATTGCTGTCAGGATGGGCCATGGAAAGAAGAAGCAGACTCATGTAGATGCTCCACCGGGTGGCGGTGTCAGCTTTTCCAACTTGGTGATATCAACATTTAACCACCTAACTCTCAACTTCAAGGAGGGCAGTAGAAGTTTATAATGTACGTGCTATCTCCTAACTTGGCCTGCATTCATTTTGAGTTTTCTCATCTCTTTCTCTCTCTAATTATCCATTTTTTTCACTCTGGCTCTGCTCTGGTGGCTTGATTGTTGAGAGAGAAAAATCACTTTCATTAGATTCTTGCACTGCCTCCCCCGAGGATGAAATGATTGCAAAAGTTTAAAGCCAGAACGTTGAAAATTACTAATCTCCACAATAGTATGATATTGTCCACTTTGAGTTAAGCTCTCGTGGCTTTACTTTTGGATTCTCCAAATGATCTTGTACCAAAAGTAGATGTATTCCTTACCTATAAATTCATAATCATTCCCTTAATTTAATCTAGGTGGGACTTCCTCCCAACAATACTCAACATAAAATTGGTATAACTTCCTCTCAACGTTTGACTGTTTATCGTTGATTGGATGGACGGACGGACAATAGAACGAGATGCCATTCGGCTCTGGCCATTTGGGTTATTTTGAAGCTCTTTTGTAAGTATAAGTATCCTATATTTATCACATCAAATTGAGAGGGCTTCACTCACTTGAATAAAGATTATTGCTTAATCCAGCGTCCCTTCGGCTTCAGTCTCTCTCAGGGTATTAGGTGATTGGACATCACTAATCAAGTTATCTCAATCTTTTGATCTGTGAAGGGCTTTCCCTGAGATTGATTTGGAAAAAAAATCACATGGGGAGGCAGTTTTGCTTTAGGAATGTCTTTCCATTGACTTCGTACAACAACAGAGACAAGTTAGCTTAGGCGACATCTTCTTCCCTACGCAAACTAGTTACAGGTCAGGTCAAGTATCATATACTATTATATCAGAAGGTTTGTAAGATGAATTCTACAATTTTCTCTTTGAAGGTTTGACAAATATGCACAAGAAGTTGTTATCCGAAAGCAACATCCAGTTCTAATCAACAGCTCACCCTTGCTTGTTCTAGCAGCTCCTGTCTTTAGCAGCCAATTTTGGCAATTTTCTAATCTCATCTCCGGCCTTTGTGTATCAATTGTTTTATAAGTTTATGAGCTAACCCGTGAGGCTAAGATAGGTAAAACAGTAATTTTGTACTATGATTTGGAGAACATCTCAATGCAGTGGCAGTTCAGGAGTGGCTGTTGGAGGCTCCAAAAGACTCCCTGCAGACAAAGGCAAGAAAAAAAGAGTGTTCATGACGAGGCAACATTCCCTTTTAAATCAGCACAATTAGCAATCCACTAAAAGAATCTTCCAAATTCATTGGAGAATAAAAAACCACTCTTCATCGTTTTACAGCAGTAAGAGGGGTTTGGGCTGCAAAGAAGTGGAAAAGAAGGAAGAGAAAGTGTCCTTGGGAAGTATGAGAGAAGAGAGAAAAACAGAACTCCATAAATACAGAGCTAACAGAATCCTCCCTTCACCCAACTCTTGGTTTAGATTCTAAATTTTTTTGGGATTGATCAACTGACGCAAGTATGCTTAAAAATCTTCTCCTTTTGTGGGGTTTTGTCTTTTTCCTCTATGTCCTCATGGTTACTCCTTTTCTTTTCATTTGGCCCATTTTTTGACGATTTGGGTTGTCTTCGTTATTTATATCCTGGTTCTTGTTCTGTTTTTCAGTGATGGACAATGCTGAGGGTAGCAAGAACAGAGACGACCTCTCTGGAGTCCATAAGTTTGAGGAGAATCACGACCAAAGGATGGACTGTACAGAGGATGCAATACAAAACAGCCACCACACTCGCACGTTTACAGACTCCAGAATTCAGATTTCTTCACAAAGCATAGGCTCTCCTCAGGTTTGTTCTTCTGTATCTTTTTTTTTTTAAAAAAAGTTCATAATTATGCGCTCTCTCTCTCTCTCTCTCTCTCTCTCTCTCCATTCCACCCACTTCCTTGAATCTTTGAAAGAAGGAATAATTCTGGAGCTGTTTAATTGGGGGCATTTTCTTTTTGAAACTATGGGAATTTGTTCTGAGCATCCTGATATGTTAAGTAATCGAATATGCAGATTATTGTCTCTCTCTTAAAGCTTTTTGTTAATGCTTTGTTTACATTACAGACGATGGGTCATTCTTTTCTGTGAAACTATTGGATATATTTTTCTCCTTCACTCCATTTGAAGGCAACCTGTTAAAAAGGTTGTGCAGATTATTGTTTGTTGTCTGAAAGTATAGAAGAAAATAGAGCACCTAAAGTCGCCATTAATTGCCTAATAACTATGCCAAAAAAGTGTGTCTACACTGAGTGGGACCTTGTATTTATGAGAAGAAATCTGCCAAAAATAGTGTACCTACTTCGGTTTATTGAACCACCAATAACACTACTCACAAATTAACCCTCTCATAGTTTTTTGTTTTCATTCATCTTCACTTCTAGTACGCTACAGTTTCCTTGTCAAGTCCTGGGCTGATGCTACAGCCTCAACTTCAATCCGTGCCTCAGTGTGCTGCTGCATTCATTGAAAATGTTTTCCATGAGACGAGGTCGCGTGTTAGGATCGCATGGAATCATGGTGGCAATCAAGTGGCCATTGCTGGATCATGGGATAACTGGCAGTCGAGGTAACCGACTTCGATGATGTGCTTTTTTCCTTCTCGTTCCGTTTCGTTTTCTTGAATCTCAACTTGAACAACCTTTGGTTGTGTTGAATTTACTGTGTTTCTGTTAGAGAGCTCCTGCAGAACATTGGTGAGAAGTTTGTGGTTGTTAAAACTCTGCCGGTCGGTATCTATCACTACCACTTTATAGTTGATGGTTGGTTGGTTTATGCTCCAGATCTACCTTGGTTTCGTAATGATTCAGGGAATGCTTACAATATTTTAGACTTGCCAGTAAGTTTTGATAATTTTGTGTTCCTCAAGAATGCTATTACTGCTGCTCCACACAATTCCCATTGAACTATGTTTTCCAGGGCTATGTTTCTGGATTGCCTGAAAGTATGTTCGAGTTCGAAACTCCTCCGTCCCCGCCATCGAGTTACGACAACCAATACTTTAACGAAGATGATTTTGGCAGGCCTCCACCAGAACTACCTCCACAGCTGCAAGGAACCATTTTGAACGATCCATCTTCTTCGGTTGATGGTCGACCGTTGCCAGTTACGCCTCGAAATACAGAACTAAATCATCTCTATTTGCAGAGCAATGTCCAAGATCAGTTTTTAGCACTTGGATCTTCTCACAGGATTCATGAAAAGTATTATACTATGTTTCTATTCAAGCCTTTGTCAAGAGCAAGGTGATGTCCATACTCCTTTACTCATTCCATCCACATTTTCATTTTCGAAACTGAAATTCAGCAAATGAATCTCAATATTGCTTGAAAACTTGCTATCCTCGTAAGTTCTGTAGGTTGAGGAAGCATTAGTGCAGCTAATCTTCTCACTGAGCATATCAATTCAATTGCTATTTACTCTGGAAATTGGTATCACTCTTACAAAATCTTCCCCATCCCTTCAGTTATCTGTTTAAATGCGTTCTGGTCGTCTTTCCATCGCATTGAACATATCATTATTGTCGAAGAACATGTCATTACATATATACTCTTGAGCTAGCATTAGCAGTAAACCATTTTTGCAGAAAAAGCAGGATACTTTTTGTGAGACCGGAGAACGAAACATTCCTTATAAGGGTGTGGAAATCTCTCTTAAAAACCTAAAAGGGAAGCTCTTGAAGAAGAAACCCAAAGAAGACACTATCGGCTAGCAGTAGACTTGGACTATTACGCTTTTAGCTATCAATTTCTCGGCATTTACATCGACTTAGCTCTATAGATTTAGTTAATTACATGTTGAAAATCTTGAGGGTGTGGAAGCCTCTTTCTAGTAGAGGCGATTTAGAAATCTTGAGAGGAAACTCTTGAAGGGAAAACACAAAGAAGACAATATCTGTTAGCGGTTCTTGGCTCTTGCGCGGAATTAGGTCGGTAGANGGGGGGGGGGGGGGGGGGGGGGGGGGGGGGGGGGGGGGGGGGGGGGGGGGGGGGGGGGGGTTAAAGGGCAGAATGAAGGAGGCATCTGTTTCAGATTTATGGTGTGAGACATCGCTATCTGAGACAGTAAGAGGGAGTGGAGATAGCAGCCTGTGGTGTGTAGGAGTAATGGGCGAGAGTCAGATATGAATCTGTCTTTGTTGTGAGGGGGAATGGACGAAGTAACCCAAAACCTCGTCTCTTCTCTTCTCTTCTCTTTGCTTCTTCTAAGCTGAATCTGTGTTGTCTTTGATGCGAAGGGGGATGGATGATGAATTGGTTCTTCAACTACCTCCCTTTTCTTCTTATAAAACTATCATTTTACTTTCCAAATCTATAATTCAACCTAAAACACCTCACTTAATTACCATAAATTCAAAACAAATACAACCATTTAACTCAACCTAAATTAATAAAAATATCCATTTTAAAATATTTTCAACAAGTTCTATACTTTTCGATGAAAATCATTGATAGTACTTCAAAAGTATTTTAAAAATATCCTTTAAACTTTTCTTAAATTATTTTTTTTTTTAAAAAAAAGTCCGATAATACCTTTACCCCTTAAAAAATACATAAAGTGTCGACAGACAATTTCCGCTCATATTAATAATAAGAATTTGTGTAAACTTTTTTTTATAAAGTTAAACGGTAAGAATTTTATCACTATTTTTTAAACACATACAAACGATAAGAATATTTTTAATGTTAAACAAAATATTTAACATTTTTTATTTTTTATTGTTATATATATATATATATATTTTTTTTTTTTTTTTTTTTTTAAAAGAATGGTAGGTCCCATTAAATAACATGAGATGCAAAGAATGGAAGCCACACTTCTCCACGGGAAGGTCCCTCCCCTTCAACTTCCGTTCCGTTGGTTGCTTACAAGTTGATTTCGTTCCGTTCCGTCAATTCCCATTTGCCGGTGACCCCACGTCGCCATTAGTTACTTCTCTGCAGCGGCTAAAGCTTGGTTGGTGAATCCAATTTGGGTCTGTGTCGAGAAGATCTGATTCTGGTTCATGGGTTACGGCAGAGATCTACTTGCTTCCGAGCTTGGAGGCTTTAGTGGAGGTTTTTAGTTCTTACATTAGTTGGAGAGGAGAATAAAACATTTTTTATAAAGGTGTGGAAACATTTTCTTAACCTACGTATTTTAAAACTTTGAGGAAAGCTCGAAAGAAAATTTTCAAAAATGATAATATCTGCTAATAGTAGACTTGGGCTGTATGCTCAGTTCAAGGTGCTTGGTTCTGTATGCTCGAGTTTGATTATTTGAGTCAATGCAACCAATTTGGAGTGTCAAATCAAGAAATTGGGAATACATGCCTGATTTGATAAATACCTCTAGCAACCAAACTTAGGATTAAAATGTTAATTTTAAAATCTCAAGAACCAAATAGACAAAACGATAAAACGTGAGAGACCATTACTATTTTAGAAAACAAAGCAAGAACAGGTAGCTTGGAGCGAGGGATAACTCGACTAGCTCTATAGAGATGGAGGCGTGTATGGAAGAATTAGATAGCTCCCAAAAGGCAAAAGTTCGGATGGTGACAAACCTTACTAGAGATTTAAGAGTTGCCTCGATGTTGCGAGGACAAAGCTAGCGAATTTGAGCACTATAATAAACCTCACCATGAGACTAGTGAGAAAACAAGCATCGACTAGAGTGCAACCCATTTTAACAAGGTAAAAGTATCACTTACTGGAACCTAAGTTCTTTTGTGGGGCTCATCATACTATCCGGAGAACTTCATCTTTGATCTTGAACAGTACTCTAAAGCCACAAGTACAATCATCGAGGAATAAAAAATCACCTTAACGACAAACGCCAAGTTACAGTGAAGGTCCTGTAATATGGACATCTAAGAGGGTTGATACATCATAGACCCATGGAAACGCTAAATAGGAACTTCATTATGATTTCTTCCTAAAGAAAGTCGAGATTTTGGCCCGATGAAAGAACTAAGTTCGAGCACTCGATAAATAAAAGTTAAATAACATATCCTAAACAAACTACTCTATCAGCATAGCAACAACACCACCAAATCTACAAAGAATTTCCTGTACATTCAGTTCAAGGGCACCTACCATTCATTATTTGCTACCCAAATCATAAGGAACAAAAAAAAAACATATCAACATTTGTTTACCTCGGAATATTGATGTCGAAAATGATGCTGATCTGAGAAGGTTAGCCATCAATAAGACAAACATCACCACGGTCTTCAAAACAGTTATTTTTTCCCCCTACAAGATGAACATCTATTCAGAAATCGAGAAAAACTCGAGCCAAGTAATAGAATCATAACAAGCTAAAGTAAGCGAACGGTATCGGGAAGTAACTACTACATGTAATTTTCAATTAGGATTTGGAGACTTGAATCGGTGAAGAAGACGATTAAACTCGAATCACCACTGGGTTCAAAGACGACCCATTGAACGCCTAGAAAAATCTTGCAATGAAAATAGATACGCAGTCATCCATCTTAGTTGTTGCATACCGATGTATGAGCCTCGATTACTCGACAAAAACACAAATTTACATCCCCCGAACTAGTCGACTTCTCGATGGGACCGAGGTTACACAATGTTTTGGTATTGAGGTGAGTCAAAGACATGCTATATACTTCTACTACAGCTTCAAATGCTGTCTTTCATACTAATTTTTATGTTCTGCACTTTAATAGATAATTGCAACTTGTGATCCTCAATATCTTTCAGCACCGAAAAAAGGTTAGATCGATACACTTCACACTTTCGATTTGCACACTCCAACTCGTTCGTCAGTTCATTGATTTTCTTGTCCAAATCATCCTGCCAAAAATTTCAAGAAAGAAAAAAAGTAAGAATGAAATCATGCAAGTGAATGAAGGATTGTCCAGCCACGGTCATGTCGAAATCCAATGCTAAATCTTCAAAACACTAAAAGGATGTCGAAATCCACCTTTTTTTCAATCTTGAAATCTTGAATAATGCATTCCATTATAAAAAAGGGAAGAAGTTGGAACCGGGAGATACAAAGAAAGCGAACTCGTACCTCGGACATGTTTATACCCAAGCTCCCGTCTTGACCTGTGCTACTACTATGATTAGTATAGCTTATATCATTTGCAGGGTCCGCTTTAATTCGCCCATCGATTGAAGAAATTTTACTGTTATTCCTTGGCGTATGAGAAACCCTTTTTACAGCCTCCTGCAGGGCATCCTTCGCCACGTTATATGTATCGATAGTCTTTGCTCCTTCCTCGATGAATTTAAAAGCCTCGTGGCGTAGGGTAATATATCTCACAGTATGAGATTCGAGATAGTTGTTATAGATATCATTCACATGGTCCTCCAATATCACGTTACTCTTCGCATTTCTCGTCCATCGTTTCAATATGTAATGAGATGGAAGAGTAAGCACATTGGTCACTCTGAAGACAGCCAAGATATGTCTGCACAAAAGGCCTGAAAACTCAAACATCTGGCAACTACAATTTGCCCTCATCTCCACGACATTAAACTTCACATAGTGGGCTTTATGATCCTCTCCAAATTTGGCCACTTGATAAGTTATAACTTCCCCGTTATCATCGGCCTTCGAGGCCATGAAAGTTAACGTGCCAACTAACTCGTCTTGAAACCGTGAAAACAGCTTCCTGGTGTAAAGCTCAGAAACCTGTTTTTCCATTGGTGATGGAGTCTTTAGAACAGGGGAAGTGTTCATTGTATCATAATCTGCTTTTACTTCTTTCTCATTTCGACTCTCAAGAGCTTTTTCATACAGTTTGAAGAACTGACTCAAATTGGTTGAAGCATTCACATACCCATCAAAATATGAATTCATGCTATCACTTCGTTGTGTAATAGACATTTCAGCAAAAAAAGTGTTCCTCAAATACACCGGAACCCACTGCCTCCGAGCAGAGTAAACCGTCTGAAGCCACTCGTGATCCCTGAGATCATATCTGTCGACGAGTGACAACCAGCAGGACTCAAATTCCTCAATGGAGTCAGTCAAGTTTACACACTTATGGAAGTCAGCTTCAAAGCTTGGATGTTTAAGGAACACATGTGATAGCATCTCCTGGCATTTCTTGAAAATATGCCATTTGCAGAAACGGTGACGGGTCTCAGGGAAAACTTGTGCGATGGCTGACTGTATTACTGCATCATGATCGGTAGTAATCGACAGAGGTGTGTGACCAGACATTGCTAAAAGCCACGTTCTAAATAGCCAATTAAACGATGCTTCAGATTCATTTATTAGAAAAGCACAACCAAACAACACTGGCTGTCCATGGTGATTCACCCCGGTGAAAGGAGCGAAGGGCAAACGATATCTATTCGATCTATAGGTCGTGTCAAATGTAACAGTATCGCCAAAGTAAGTATAGTTCATCTGAGCCTTTGGATCAGCCCAAAAGACATTGCCTACCCACTGATCCTCCTCTCCCTGCACGGCGTAGAAGAAGTTAGGATTTTCAGAATGCATTTGCCTTAAGTAATCCAACAACAGTTGAATGTCCCCTTCTAAGCTCCTTTGGCGGTTATTCCTCATATAGTTTCGACAATCGACCTCTGTAAATCCAACTTTACTGATTCCACCATACTCCTTTATGAGTGCAGACATAATCCTGCGAGGTCCCATCCCAGCAGCCTGTAAAGTATCAATCAAGGTCTTTGCTGGACCTGATATTTGCCTATGAGACCTTAAGCAGTGCACCTGATCAGGAGGAACTAAATCATGGTTATGCTCTCTAACAAAACAAGACACAACCCATTTCCCAGAATCATGCATCTTCACAGATAAAGATGCTTTGCAACCCACTCTTGTAACGGTTCGAGGACGCTTAATTTCTCGGTCTTTGGTTCGTTTCTCATTCATATTCCTAAACCCCTCTTTGGCACAAACAAATTGCCTCTGTATAATTGCTCCATCACGCCTAGATCGACGGGAGGAGCTCACACGAGTACTAAACCCAACCCGTCGAGCATACGAGTTATAGAAAGCCTTGGCAGCCTCTTCAGACTCGAATTCCATTCCTTCATGAGGTTCAAGATCCAAAAGATCACCATCAGGAAGATAAATCTCACCACTGCCAGCACCACAACCAAGACCACTCAAAGGAGGGCTATCAATCATTTCCTCTTCCTCCATGGAATCATGCACCATAGCCATAGAATAGTCATCTCCATCTCTCCCACTGCCTCCCCCCAATCCAATATCAAATTCAATCACCTCATTATCCATGTGAAACAGTTAATATCCAATCAGAACTTACTTTGCAAACTCAATACCCATTCCAACCCGGTGAGTACAAGTTACAACTAGAAGAGATCAGTCACTCAACTCACCTCATATTCAAAGGCAAACCACAATACCCATTAAATCAAACACAAAAACAACCAAAACCCATTACCCAAAAATAAATTCAGATTTAAGCGTCCAACAATCCACAGAAATTCCTCAACCAACAACCAGAAAATAGAAAACGAAGCACAATCCAGTACGGGGTTCGGGTTCGCGGGGCCGAAAAACCCTAGAAATGAAATTGAATTTTGCCGGGAACTCGAAAGAGGCGGGGAAATTTCAGGATCGGAAAGAGAAGAGGAAAAATACCATGGATTAAGTGGGAAATTGGAGGATGATCGCCCAGAGACGGTGAAAGAGCGCTGAGAGTTCACAGTTGGCAATGGATTCTTCGTACGGTAGCGCAGCCTTGGAAGGCTTCAAAAACTTCGTTCCAATGAATCGCCGACAACTCTCTCAAATGCTCGCATGCCGTCGCCAACGTAAAGATTGAATTCGAAATTATTGGAGATTGAATTTCTATTTATTTTTCCTATGATTTTATTTATTGCTCAAAATCATCCTTTTTAATCTCTCAATTTTCACAAAACTAACTCTTTCTTGTTTATTATAAATATATTTCAATTTCAATATAATTTAGCTTAATTTTAATTTAATTATGTATATTAATAAAAATATATGCTAAATTAATAAAAATATTCATAAATTTTATATTGTATCTAAAAAATACTTTAATAATACTACTTTGTTAAGAGAAAATCTAAAAAACGCAAAAAGCAATCTCTTCTAGTCAGCCAACCCGTAGAGTTGAACACAAGCCCTTTTTAGCCAGGTTCTTCCATCAATCTCCTAGCCCTTGCTTAACTCCTTGTTCTATAAACCAGTCGCTGGTTGATTTGATCGGACCCAGGACACACGAGCCTAGCCCGAGAGGATGGGAAGGACGGAGAGATAAAGCAATATAGCCTGTTTGGAAAGCGCATATAACACTTTTTATCTT